CAGTGTGTTATGTACAAAAGTATTTTTTTTCTTTCTTGTGTGTGTTCACCAATCATATTCTCAAAAAAGCTGCATCAAAGATTCTTTGGGGCAAAATAATAAAGTTCTCTTACCTTGATGTCACAGACGAGACAAGCCATTCCAGGTCATCACATGCAACAAAGGAAGAGAAAATACATTAATGAAATCAACCTTTACATACCTATGAATTATATACCCACAAAAATGATTCTAATTAGTGTGACTAAAAGTTAGTCAGCAGTGTTGTGTCTGCACGTGGACAAAATAAGTGAATAAACCAGGTCAAGATCTTCTCCAGCAAAGAAACAAGACTTTACTTTTACTTTTCTAAGACTTTATGATTGATGATAAAAAGAAGCCCCTAAAAATATTTGCAGGTTTCTGGGCCAAAGATAAGAGCAGTGCTTTGAAAAAGTCCTGTCAGAAGCTATGTATTTTAAATGTGAACCACATCACACTTATTCTGGTGTAAATACTTATGACAAAGTATACAACATCAGCCCAGTAATGGCCTGATCCAATATGAGGTGTCAGGAAAAACAAATCTGAACCGAGCACAACAATTTGTCATTTTAGCCCATGCAGTATATGGGATCAGTGGAAGACAAACAACTGTGTCAAGGACACTGCATGTGAAGTTTTCAACCTCGGCCTTCACCATGTGAGGGCCTAAGGCCGCCACCAGCAGTGGAACTAGCTAGGAAATGTTATTTTGTTTTCTTTGTTCACATATGTAGATTTAGGTTGTAGGTAGATTTTAGGCATTTGATTTGACATTAGGCTGAGACATACACAATTAATCAATGAAACATGCACATTTGGTTAATTTGGTATTGTCAATACATTGTGTGCAAAGTTTTCTTTTTGAACTACCATTTATTTCCTGGTCCATGGATGGGGGTGGTCCAGACGGAAAGATGGGACTGAGGCAGCAGCAGGTTTAAATAACTCCCACTAGACCTGGACTGTACCAAGTGCCCAATACAGGAGAGGGGGGTGGGGAATATATCGTTTGTTTGTAGTTTATGTTAAAACTTTGTCAAGATGTTTGTTTTTATTTTTTTCTTTATCCATTCCCTGTGTGTGTTACTGGTTTGGCCAGCCAGTATCTATGTTCCCCATTTGTGTCATTTGTTTTTTGTTTGAGGTTCTGTGCAAGTCAGTTTGCTGAATTTTGAGTTTCCTTATCTTTTGTTGACCTCTTTTTAGAGCCCAGTTTGTTTGGTATTGATGTTGTAGTTTTTATTTATTTTTGGGCAAATAAAAAACCCATCTCTTTTGAAAATGGAAAGTTGTGTCCTCTGCCTAACGGTTCAGTCCCTGACACCGCATGAGGCTCTAACAGGAAGACTAACATTTCACATTTAACTGCTTTTTCTTGCCAAGTTCAATACCACGCCACCTTCAAACACACAAGTGTAGTCTAAAACATAAATGTGTAGAGCACAGAATTAGCACATATGCCTCTAAAATATGCAAAACAACAAGACAACATAAGGTCTAAGACTATGACATTATGTAAATGTGGAGCTTGGGATTCATAAACTGCAGAGCTGCTCTGAGTTGACTGACTACTGATTTCCTTTAGTCTTTAGGTGCCATGCTGCCTTGAATCATTCATCACCATTAGGCAACACTAGATAATACAACACCACTTACTCAGAAAGAGACCTGAGTTCTTGTACTAGTTGGATTGTAGGTTATGATACATCCACCAGATTTTTTTTGCATAGTTTAGCCAATTAACTGCAAAGCATAAGTACCTAAAATCCCTGCTAAGCATTTTCCAGAGCACTTTTTTTTACATTTCAACCAGCTTTGCAAGGTCTGGTTTATTTCAGCTATAAAAATCAACTTGCAGAGACTTTAAATGTATTGTACTTATTGTTACAAGGTACTACATTCATCACATAGAAAAACAACTGAACAGGGACCATTTTGAAAACACTTCCTCAGTGAAATGAAGAACACTCAAGCAACTGAGTTTGGATTAGTGTTCAGCAGCAGTCTTTTTAGTCTAAGAAACTACCTCATTCACATTATTCTTCAGTGTTTTTATTCACTCTCACTTCCAGGTTTAATTTTCTAACACTATAACTCATGAATGCAACACTGTTAGTGGCTGTCCTTAAAATATACTGCAATTTTATAAACACTTTTCCAAACCATCGTTGCTTGCAGGTTCACTATCATTTAATAAAAATATAAACAACCAAAAGTAGTCAGCAATAATGCAAGTATATTGTGCAGTATTATCAAGTTCCAAAAATGTCTGCAGTGTAGCTTTATAAAGTCAAATGGATTCTCATTTAATACAACTGGTAGATGCAGTGCAATAAAACAGCTGCACTTTGCTCCCAACAATACATTCCATCAATAAATCTTCAAAGCAATTTGCATCTGTCAACCCTGCCTCGATTCCTGACAGTTGTGCTTTTTATGGGGTCATCATAAATCAGAGGGGTCTGGTTAGTGAAAAGAGGGACATAATATGCAAATGAGTCTTTTAGACCTTGTAGTGCACAATGGTAGAAAAAAAGATAAGCACCCAGAAAAAAAAATGCTTTTTTTTACGAGTATCCATGATAAGTGGAAGGGCAAGTGGGTGGAAAGGGTGCATGCAGCATTTACCCGAATATAATCAACCCACAGGTCAGACTTCCCTACTAGGCAATTTACTAATGTGTTTGCTGCCTTGAACCTGTGATCTTTCCAGGTCTTATGGAAAAGGCTGTAAATGTATGCACATATCTCTATACGTTTTCACACATATAGAGGATTATCATTTAACTAATGTTTACGTATCAAGTTAAGTGGCATTATCACTTTAGTTTCTTTATTGTATATGGAGGAAAAAAACACTTGTGCTGTGGGAAACCGACAACTACAAAAAAAGAAAGAAAGACTTAAGTATTATACTGTACAGACGTATGTTATATAATAGGGTTGACATGACACTGACCATAACAGACAAGCGAGAGGAACTTGAAGTTTACAACAATCTGGCAATTTACAAGGGAACGTCAGATACAATGGGATTATAGCTGAAGATGTCCAGTACTTTCTCAGACAAGAAAAATGAAAACAAAAATCCAGAAAAAACAAAAATCTGCTATACTAGAGGACAGACTTTCCTGGCCATGCTAAATTTGCTAAGCAAAAAAAAAAAAACTATTTGCTGGGATAAAATGTAAACAATGAAAACATGTACAAAAATGATTCAACAAGTCCCATAATCTTTTAACAGTTATACTAACTGTTGCAGTCAACATGATAAAAAAGAAACAAATACTCAGGGCCCATTAATACCCAATCAAAAAAACTTTCAGAAACTACACAGGCTTCAAATCAAAGTATAATTTTTAGTCACCAACATGAAGTCAACAGAAGTTTTGGAACTAAATACTTCAAGTATGCAAAAAGATAAAGTATAAAAGTTGGCTAGCACCTCATGCAGGCTGTAATGCTCATAACATCCCAGAATATGGAGGAAAGGGCACAAGGTCATTAAAATCAAAAGGGGTTTTCCCCTTTTATGTTAGTGTTCAGCAAATTTGCTGATGCTATTAAGACTCAAACCACACTTATGCTCCAAAGGAAAGACAAAAACAAAGGCACAGAAAGAAAAGTTGTTGCTGGTTTTGCTCGCATGCAAAGAAAAGTTGTCTTTATTCAGGTTGGATCTGAGCTTATCTGCTTCATCTGTTGTTTTGGCTTTGAGGACTGCATGGACTGAAACCATTTAAATATCCTCTGACTGTACTGAATGTTCCAAACATTATGGTAAATGATGGTGGTTACTTCGAAGTTGGCTTCTGATTTTGACTAATATCTCCGGCAAATGTCACCCATGTTACAGGGATTGAAGTTAATGTGAAGTGCTCAGTGGCTGACGTGCACATATCGTTTAGAAGTCTTGCTGGCTGGCTCTGCTTCATGTGGTTGGTTCTGGAGGGGCAACACTCCCCACTGGATTTTTGGAATTAGATTAGGAATGTGGTGCGAGGTAGCATGGTTCAAGGGTTCAACTGCTGCCTTTTAACATCAAAGTTATCCCTGGTGTTCAGATTTACATACTTAAGATATAAACCTGCACATACAGACTGAGTATGGAACTCATTTGTAGGCCTTCTGGGGGTACAGTGCATAAAAACAACTGCTTGAGTAGGCACAACATTGCATTAGGCTTTGAGGTAGCATTACCTTCCTTCTTTTGACTATGAAATGAAGCTTATTGAAGCTTCTTTAGAGTAGTTATTCACACACACACACACACACACACACACACACACACACACACACACACACACACACACACACTTTT